GTATAAATAATAATCATAAATAAACAAACGTAAACGAACGTAAATGAATGAACGTAAACGAACGTTCACGAACATAAATGAACGAATAAGAACATTGTTCGTGTTCGTTCGTTTAACTAAACGAACTAGATATCTTGTTCATGTTCGTTCGTTTATTAAATAAATGAACATAAACGAACTTCCCGCCGAACTGTTCGCCGAACATTCAGTTCGTTTACAGCCCTACTCGTAAGGGATGAAACATGTAAATTTAAACTAACGAGGGATGACATGTGCAAATTTTACCCAAACGAGGGACAATCCGAGTTAATTTTTGAAAATAGGGACCGAACATGCTTTGTGGCACATGGACGACGGACGATTCGTGTAATTTACTCAATTTTTTTCTTGTGGCCAATAAACTTTTAAGCAATTGTTGTTATCGATTTTCTAAGCCAATTAATTTTCCTCATTCATCCATTTCTAAAAGCTCAAGGAAACCACAAACCATATGTCGGCCACCATTGTTGTTTTTATCTTGAAGCTATCATACCAATCGCTGTTGATTTTCTTAAGCCATTAAAAGTTGTGTTTATTATTAGTTGATTTTTTAGGCCTAAGTATCAGCCCTATATATCAATTTTTAAAAGATATATCATAGCTCATTAATTGATATATAGTAGTTTCTCATCGTTTTTTCTTGAGCCTCAAAAGTCAAACCAACCGCAAATAAATATTATTGGCCTATTTGTATTAGCCGCTTCATTTAATTTTACGAAACAACATCTCCTTTATAATCATTTTTAACCGATAATTCATGGGTCGGTTTGTCGGTTTCACGTGTGGGTCGGTTTTCAGTTTGGATGAGTCGGTTTCTGGGTAAAAACAGAAAACCGAAACTGACTTTTTGGTTTTTAAAAATTTTAAACCCTGACCATCGGTTTTGATCGGTTTCTTTGGTTCGGGTTTTCTCACCCCTACACAATTCCTCTTATAAAAAGATAAACGACAAATTGATTGTAATAGCAACCAAGTTCTCATGTTTTTCTTACTATACTAACATGTAACAACTATCTTGTTGTCGTTCAGAAAATAATTAACTTGGAATTCGTTGGATTAGGAAATCGATCACCAAACATGAAATGTGAAACTCTAAAATAGTTTTCCTATTATACACCAACCTATTTCCCCTAATGGCTAATCACCTTTCTAAAGTTCAGATCCATAACCCTATATTTATTTATTAGTTTCCGCAATAAGTAGTTAATTAAGAATCATAAGTTGTTTTAAAACAAACACCCGTTTAATTTTATGGTCAACCATGTTTATAATAAGGGTGAAATGTTTCTTATACATAGTTTTATAAGTCTTAAATTTATGCAACAAATTGTTTTTAGACAAACTATACAACAATGTCTCACTATTGGAACGACCAAAAAAATTGAAACATTATAACATGGAACTGTTACAAGATACCGGTTAAATTCTCATTTATATAATAGTGTTTCATAACTATCAATT